TAGCTACTCACTTTAAGAATTGTAACTGGGCTAACCCCCGTCTCCATCTTTTCTCCCTGAGTGTAAACCTGAGGAAAGTGATTGTCTCACTACTGATCTTCCTAAGTCATTCTGGGAGCTTTTTCAAAAGAAGAATGGAGTGAAAAAATGCTTTAAAGAAACAAAATGTTCAGTGGGAAAATGGCATGAGGGAAAGAGGGATTTATTTGTTCATTATGATATTTGTAACTCACCTTTCAAGTATCCAAGTCAGATAAGCCATACTATAATCACATACCTTTTAGGAATGTAGGAAGCTGATTCTCGTGAGTCAGACCATTGGTTCAGTATTGCCTGCACTGATGATATAGTTTGGACTGGGGCCTTCCCAAGCAACCCGCCCCCCCGGTTGTATTCAGTTGTGACCTTCTGTGAATGGAAGGAGTCCTTGATCTAGTGGAGTCTTTGTTCTAGATCAGGGGTGGATAACCTGCGGTCCTCCAGATGTTGCTGGATGTCATGAACTGGCAGGACGATGGGGAGCAGGAAAAGGAGGAAGAGGATCCAGGCAAGGGGTGTGGCTGGGACGCTCTAGGGTAAGCAGGGGATGGGGAAGGAAGTATTCATGCGATGACAGAGGATGGTGAAGGGATGGAGGTCAATGCATTGCAACCAGAGCACCAGAACCCATCACCAGATTCAGAGGGGCCTCTGTCCCCATGAATACAACAGACTCTGAGGCGCAGGGAGCAGTGGGAGGGGTGCTCTAGGAGGCTGAGGCAGGCAAGGGCCCATAGCCCAGCTCCCTAGCTGGCAAGGTGGGGCTTGCTAGCTCTGGGAGGAGCTCCTCAGCTGGAGTAGTCTTGAAACAGGTGAAGGTCAAATGCCTCATGAAGCCCAGATGCTGCAATCAGCAGGCATAGTGTAAAAGGGAAGCAGAGTTGAGGTGCTGTCTGCTCAGTTGCCCATGTTGATGGAAGTTGGCTTGGATGCTTCTGGACCTCTATGGAACTGTGCTTCAGGTTTGACTCCAGACTGTATCCTGACTACTGGACTTCAGGCTTGGATACTTGGATTGACCCTGGACTGTATTTCCAGACTTTTTGGACTTTGCTTGTGTGGCTTGACCCCAGACTTTGGACTTACATACTGATTTGATGTCAGGTAGGCCAGGGGTTCAAGACACTGGACTATAAATTCCATTATCTTTGACAATTGGACACACCGGCTGGAACCAATGGTTGTTGGGCTACAGCAGCTTGAATGTCAGACCTACTTCAAAGGATTGCTGTGAGAATAAAATAGAGAGGGGGAGAACCATGTATGATGACATGAGCTCCCTGGAGAAAAGGAGGGATGCAAATATAATAAGCAATAAATAAAACATCTAGAGCAGCCTTTCTCAACCTGTGGGTCCCCAGATGTTGTTAAACTACAACTCCCATCACCCCTAGCTAGCAAGGCCAGAGCTCAGGGATGATGGGAGTTGTAGTCCAACAACATCTGGGGACTCACAGGTTGAGAACCACTGATCTAGAGGGTAATGTGTTCAAAAAGTGCAGTTTTATATGGGAGCAAGAAGTCCCTAAGAGGTTTAGATGTTAAAACTCGCACAATAACATTCAGCCAGCAGCTGAAAGAGTTAAAATTCATAACAAGCAAGTAAAACATCAGATAAATGTCAGTGCATGCTACTGTTCAGATCAGATCAAAATCACTATTCATTACATGCTCTGGCAAATAAAAATATCTTAAATAAAAATGGTGGTGGTCTTTGGCCAGAGTCTGCACACCAATTACTCCAGAATAGTCCAAAACTGGAGAGTACAGCTGGCAAAATGCAATCTATGCTAGCTTTTCTAGGCAAATGATAACGATCTCGTAATGTACAGAGCGAGTCTTTTAAAAGAGGCCCCGTGGAACATGGGGCCTCTTTTAAAGGACTCACCCTGTATTATATCCAACACAAAAGTTGTTGCTTGCAGTATCCAGGGGGCTTTTCCTGCTCTCCAGCTAACAGTTCACAACTACTATATTTTTGTAGTATTTTGTAAAAATTGCTGTTTCTGAATTTAATTGAAGTTGGGAACTTCCTGCCTTTTGTGAAAGGTACAGATATCAAAGCAATATAACATCATAACAAAGCATTTCCCTTGGTTAAACATGAAAAGGTTAGTTGCAAACAATGTTACCATGTGGGGAGGGCACAAATATTCCAAGAATGAGAGCAATAAATGCTCTCTCTGTGTGTGGCCCTCTATAAATGTAAAACTACGCAGATATCTGGTATATTATACCCATAGGTATTGGAGGCATGCAACCCCATCTTCAAAACACAATGGTGCAACAACTTCCTCACACAGCTGGTATTCCATGGTTATACTATGGAATCTGCTCACACAAGATGTAAGAGATGTAGGCCACAAACTAGGAGAGATTTAAAAGAGGATTAGACAGACTGATGGAGGATGAGGCAGTATTCCTCTGAATACAAGTTGCCTGGAACCATAGGTGAGAAGAGTGCTGTTACCCTTAGGCCTTGCCATAGGCATCTGTGAGACTAGGATGTTGGACTAGATGGGCCTTCTTATGTTTCTACAAAACTAAGTATCATCACTTTTCATAAAGAAGGAATTAAAACACACACACAAAATGATTCAAACTCCCCGCCCCCATTATACCCAGAGGGTCCTTCTGTTCAGGCTATTTTTTTTGAGCAAGCAGTGATTGCTATCACAACCTTTCTAGTGCAATTATCCTTCCACTTTTCTAACCATAAAAACCATCAGTACAGAACTGGAAGGTGTGGGATAACAACCAGGAGCGGGCAATGTTGCATAACTTCTACAAGGAAAGGGTGAAGACTCAATAAATAGGTGATGTCATATAACCTCTGCAATTTTTATGTGAACACTTCCAGCATGGAAATTCATTGAGGCTGGTCTGAAAACTCCCGAGAGTGTGATTAACAAGCAGTCGTACACACGGCATGTACGTACTGCTATATACCTTTGAATATCCAAAAGAGGAATATAATAGCTCTTCTCCTCGAATATCATAGAACTGTGTACAAATAGACTCTTATCTACCTGTATTTAACAGCAGTACCAATTGTACTGGCAACATGGTCTCCATTTTGTATCTTCCACAATGTCTCAGACTTAGCATCATTCTGCAGCACCGTGGAAGGAGAATATTGAGCATCAAATGTTTTTTTAAAATAATTATAATGGTGGAGAACATTTGGATACAATTCTGCAAAATGGCCTTCCTGTTCTAGGAGTTTTTGAGAAAAATCTCAAAACTTTTATCAGAAAAGCGTCTTCTGAGGAACTTCAGCTAAGACATAGTCTAGATTCAGGTAGGTACCCGTGTTGGTCTGACGCAGTCAAAATATATAAAAACTGGACTATTTTTTTATATATTAAGACATAGTCTGTTTATTTTTCTCATTATAGTGACTTTCCTTCAAACCTTACCTTTTCCGTGGAGATTTTGATGCAACCCTTTAGTCCAGGGATTGGAGACCTGTGACCCTCCGTGTTGTTGGGCTACTATTCCCATCACCTCTGAATATTGGTTATGCTGGCTGTGGCTGATGTGAGTTGGAGTTCAAAATCATCTTGCTGTCTATAGGCTCCCCATCCCTGCTTTAATTCTCACACAACTATAATGAAGTCTACATCTATGTAACAGCATTTGCTCACCTTCAAACTTTTGTTATTGCTGCCTCTCTTTCTGATGTTTTCTTCCTCATTGTCCTGCTGTAGAGCTAAATTGACATGACATTTGGAGATCAATTTCCCACTTTAAAAAACCCCCATAAACCAGGGGGTTAGATTGATGCTGGATGAGGGCAATTTTAACTTCATTTCCCTTGCACTGCTTTCCAGCCATATATTGCTCCCCTGAAGCTATTTTTCCACAATGAAAAACCTATAAGGTATGCATATAGGTGAGGGATGTGGGTGGCGCTGTGGGTTAAACCACTGGGCTGCTTGGGCTTGCCAATCGAAAGGCTGGCGGTTCAAATCCCCACGACGGGAGCCCCCATTGTTTGGTCCCAACTCCTGCCAACCTAGCAGTTAGAAAGCACACAGTGCAAGTAGATAAATAGGTACCACTCTGGTGGGAAGGTAAACTGCATTTCCGTGCACTGTTCAGGTTTCACCAGAAGCGGCTTAGTCATGCTGGCCACATGACGCGGAAAACAATCTGCGGAAGTGGACAAACGCCGGCTCCCTTGGCCTGTAAAGCGAGATGAGCGTCACAACCCCAGAGTCATTTGCGACTGAACTTAATTGTCAGGGGCCCCTTTACCTTTACGCATATAGGTACCTATGTGTTCCCTCATGGGAGGATATTTAGATTGGGAAAGTGGCATGTGGGGTTGGTTAGGGAAGCTAAGTAACTCCTGTCACCCAGTGACTTGGCCCTGATCTGATCCAGCTCAGAATAGCATTTGCCTTTTTTGCTGCATGTCTGTGGTTTACTAAGACCACTAAATACTTTCCACATCTTCTACTGGCAAGCCAGGTGTCCCCCATCTTAAATTTGTGCAGTTATTACGTTTGTCCCTACTGAAAATCATTTTGTTAATTTGGGCCCTGTTCTCCAGTTAAGGTCATCTTGAAACCCAATTCTGTCTTCTGTAGCATTGGCTACCATTCCCAGTTTGGTGTCATCTGCAAACTTGATGAGCATCCTGTCAACACCTTCAACTATGTCATGTATAAAGTTGTTGAACAAGTGGGCCCAGGATAGAACCCTGTGGTACCTCACTTGTCACATTTTTCCAGGATGATGATGAACTGTTAGTGAGTACTCTTTGGGTGTGGTCAGTCAACTAGCTACAAATTCACCTTATCTTGTACACATTTTACCAGCTGCTCTGCAAAAATATCATGGGGGACTTAGTCATACGCTATACTTATAAGAGACATGTGGGTGAACAGAATCTATCAAATTCTTAAGTGTGAATAATCCAGCCAGATACCTAAAGAATTCACTCCCTCACTGACTCACCAATAATTGTTTTATTCTTTATTTCAAGTAACATAAATTTGAGTCAATAATAAGCAACAAAACATAGGTGTTTAAAAGTACAATTATTGTTTATGTTAAATGTCTAACTGCCCCACCCAGAGGCCTCAAGCAAAACTGCAAGTCCAGCTATGCCTGGTGATGTACCTCAAGTTACAAATGTAGTTTATTTGTCACATCCTTTCTTCAATGATCAAGTGCATGAAGCTACTTCTTTTTATCCTCAAAGCCAGGTGAGGTTGAGAATGAAACAAGTAATAAGAACATAAGGAGAGCCTGCTGGATCAGGCCAGTGGCTCATCTAGTCCAGCAGTCTGCTCTCACTGTGGCCAAACAGATGCTTTTGGGAAACCCGCAAGCAGGACCCGAGTGCAGGAGCACTCTCCGTTCCTGCTGTTTTCAGCAACTAGTATTCAGAAGCGTTCTGCCTCCAGCCATGAAGACAGAGCATACCCAACCCAGGTAGTTGCCACTGATAGCCATGAATCTGGCTAATCCTTTCTTAAAGTCAACCAAGTTGATAGCCATCACTGTCTCTTGTGGGAACGAGTTCCCCACCTATGCGTTGTGTGAACAAATACTTTGGTTTTTTGTCCTAAACATTCAGCTTCAGTTGATGTCCACGAGTTTTCGCATCGTGAGAAAGTGAGAAGTGATTAAGGTCGTCTCGTAAACCTCATCTTAATCCAATAGTCACGAGCCATCTCCTATTTATTTTGTAAATTGGTCAGTCAATATCTTTACTGTAGTCAATGACCAGCATTGGTCAGTCAAATTTGTTAGGAATCATTTGTCATCACAAATAATACAAACAGTATAGAAGTATGTTTAGCACAGGAGGTCTCCAGCAGATGGGACAATGGAATTCTGTCTGATCTGCTTGCTGCTAAGACAAACATATATATCTTGTATCCCATCTGTAAGCAAATAACAGATTGCCCCCCTCTATGTTTTGCAAGCTGGAAGTGAGGTACAGAGAAAGCCAGCACTTAAATATATATTAACCTGCATCTAGGACCCACACCAGGAAATGAAGGTAGATTTCCCAAACATTATTCAGGCTCCCAGCTTCTCATCTACATATTATACAAGCAGTGACAGACAAGCTAACAATGGGCTATATCAATCGTGAAATTTGCAAGTCTCTACTTTAAAACATATCTAAGTCTATAATTTTCTACCGGTTGCTACTTCCATGTTGTTTAAAGAGGGGAAATGCCAATATGTAGACAATATGTAGAAATTGTCATATCACACTCCAAAGCCAGAAGTTTGTCTACTCATAAGCAAGCCCTACTGAGCTCAATGGCACTTGCACCAATGTGTACACAGGATAGCAGCCAGAGAAACTGATGAGAATTTAATTTTTGTTCCTTTTGATACAGAGTAGACCAATGGAGTATGTGACACAACTTTCTTGTTTAGACCCAGATGCTGAAAAATTTAGGTAATTTTAATATTTGTATGTTCTAAAGTATGACTGTATTTTTTATTTATTTTCTTGATTTATCTTTTCATAAACTCTTTGAGGTGGGTTTTTTATTTTTACAATCAAGCAGTGTATAAATTTTATGAAATAAATACTGATCAGTGCATTTTATTTCATATAATCCTAAATTATTTTTACTTAATAGTGGACTCATAAAATGGCATACTTCAATATAATTTACAGATATAATTTAAGGGAATATATTTGAAGCAACTTGTGTGCCGAACTTATAAGCAGGATAAGTTTTGACAGGAGAAACAATTCCATACATCAAAGTTGGCTTTTCACCATACTGATTAACTCTATGAAATGGTTCTCAACTGAAGAATTCCAGTTATCAAGATCATACGGAACTTCAAATGTTGGTTTTTCTCTAAAAATTGCAAGAGCAAGGAATACCGCAAAGTGTGCTGTGAGTCCCCATATTCGAAATGAAGTATTGCGTTCCGAGTCATCATATTCAAAAGAATGCAATAAATAAGCAATGCTGCCCATTTTTTTGGGAATGCCTGTGTACTTTAAAGGCCTAATAAAATACTCCAATGGTACTGAAAACACATCACTGACTTCTTCTGGATTAAGATGGGCTTGGAATGTATCCTTTATGAAGGCGACAACTGGAGTTACTAAAGAACGAGTCTGAAAAGGAAAAAAACAGGTTTGGCTCTTTAAAGCAACTAAAAGTCAGGGCAAAACACTACAAATATCAGTGGAAAACAGAAGGAAGGCAGAGGTTACCAGTTTGCCTTCAGATACTGCACCAAAACTCCCATCAGCCCTAAAAAATTTTTTTAGTTCTTAAATAGCCACTGGCCATGCTTGCTGAGGCAACATGTAGAGCTCAAGTGGTTTTAGAGTGCTGTGGTCAGTTTGGCCACACTGGGTGACACGTTGCAGGGGGGCTCTACAACAATGCTGCAGAACGGAGTATGGGAGGGGACACACTGAATTTTAGCATTGCAAAGGGCACCACTGAAATTTGAGAGCCCAAATTCCACCACTGTGTGGGGCACACCATATTGGCTACCTGTGCAGATTCAGAGACTCTCTCCTAAACCCTAACCAGAGAGGTCAGTTAACAGAACTGATCTGCCCAGAGTGGCAGGGGCAACCCAGTCAGATGGTCAGAGTACAGATAATAACATTCTTATTACTGTTACTATAATCCAACCCCAAGTTGGATAGAGGCAGCAAAAGAATAAGAGCTCATAGGAGAAACCTAAAGAGTAATGTAAGTTAAGTGCAGGAAGGAGGGAGCAGGAGAAAGAACTGGACCCAGGGTCAGAGATAAATAGGTACCCATGCTTGCAAGTACCTTATACTTTATCTAAATGCACCTTACTTTATCTATTACAGGTAGAAGCCTACAGATGACCTCAGCCTGTTCAGGATGGAGCCCCACTTCTTCCTTGGCTTCGCGGAGAGCTGTTGCTATTTCATCTCTGTCTGTTGGGTCACTTCTACCTCCTGGAAAACACACTTCTCCTGGGGATCTTCTCAGCTAGGATTTGGAAGAACAGCCTTGTTAAGTAATTATTTTAAGCGACAAACATATGATCCTAGAAGACAGTTCTTAGCATATCAGGATTCCCCATTTTTTATTAAACAACTTGTACGCTACAAGTCATACGTTGCAGTCTTCTATATGGTTCTCAATCTCTCTGCATAAAAACCTATGTTGGCAATAGTTTACAGCTGATATTTTGCATGCATACTAGATTAATGAATTTATTCAACTGTTACACTACACATTGTTATGCATGGAAGATTAAATTCTGCAAGGAAGGAGAGATATAAAATTGCAGAGACGGAAGGGGAAATTTTTCAAACCTTATGATTTCCAATTTTTGAAATATTTGTACCTCCAAGAAGTGTATAGAATCATGCATGGAATAGAGAAAATGGGTAGAAAAAAAAGATGGGCACTGGTCTGATCCAGCTATTCTTACATACAATTGAGAGATTTGACTACATACTACTCGCATTCTCTCTTCTCACACATTGACACCAGGAAATATATTTCGCAGCACGTTGTGGAAGTTTATTTCTTCCAGATTTTCATACCTTCATTGATCTGACAGTGAAAAGAACCCACAGCTTTCCATCTTTAACCATCAGCGGAATAAGAACAGAGGCTTTTGGAAGTGTTATATGGGAAAATCTGTCTCCAACATCAAACTTCTTTAAGTTCAGTATAGCTTTATCTTTCACACTTATTCTAGAACAAGCAAAAAGAGCAAGCATTTCACAAAAACCTGAATTTTCACTCCAGGATTATTATTAATTTGCATACGAGGAATATTAAACAAATCTGTTCATATTTTTGCAGATTCAACAAGATAAATATTCTACTAATCAAAATCTCTAGAGGCCCACAATAAGTTTGCATTCACCTAGAGGCAAACACAACTGGAAAATTGTTTGCAACGTATATATATTGGCAGTAATCTAATAACACTTTGTTTAGTAATGTAGCAAGCTTTGAACAAAAAGCATAATGAATAAAGCACAACAATGGGATGGTTATGAGCATGGCCTGTTTTATTCTAAAAGAGCTATTTCTTACAGTCCATGGCAAATCTTACAACTGCACAAAATAAGGGTTTAATACTGAAACATTTTTGAGGTCTCACTATTGTGCAAATACATTAAAAACTCTGCACACACCATTTAATACATGTTAATGAATATCAAATGACTGTTGCTGCTTGTTCCATACAGACCCAGAGATTGAAAATTAATTTGCTTGTTTTGGCATTACCATGACATTTCCTTTTTCATGAGTCATCCCCTGGATCAATCACAGATCATGAACTGTAAAAATCAGAGATAAGCTGCTTTCCGGCACTATGATGGAAAAAAACATGTATTCAAGGCACTGATCCACATCGATCCTTATAATTTTTTTGCAAGCAATCCCTCAAAACCATCACCATATCATGTGTCATGTTGGTATCCACAGATATATTTAGTGACTTGGTGGTGGTTTTATTGTGATTCTGTGCAAATCCATGAAGCCTTGGATCAATGTTTTTGACTAATGGTAGGCATGCAAAGGATCAATCATTTCAACTATGCTGCCTGCCAAGCTTTAATATGAAAGTGGGTGGGGGTTTTTTGGTGGTGGGAAGCCTCCATGTAAAATTATGCAGTCCTATGCAACTAGGATTCATTTTAGTAATACTAGAGCCAGGAAAGAATACAGTATGTGTGTGCTTTCTTTCTGTCCAGAGGTGGTGCATTTTACAGAGAAGGATGTGACCAGAGGAGACTGTGCCCATGAAACTCTCCACAAAATTCCAAATGCATTCATGGGCCAAAATAAAGTAGCCAAATGCTTATTTTGGAGTGGCCAACATCAGTTCTTCTTTTCCTTCTTGCAATTATTGGTGCCCTTGACAGAGGCATTTGCCCACAAGGAGTTCTGGGCCAGCCAGGATCCAACATTATCTTGTAGATACCTGTCCCATATTCACTGGTGTATCATTTGTGCTGGCCTACAGCAGATTTTGGGATGCCCCTCCCCATTGCTTATTTCATATGGTCTTTATTATGTCATCAGGCATTTATGAGCGTTTCACAAGTGCAATAATTTTGTTTAAATAACATTATTATTGTACTCAAATTAGGGAGTCCCCCAGTCATGGAGAAATAAGATTCGGGGAATTCTAATGTTTATTTTGGGTTTGGAGGGACACATCACATTTCCTTTTTAAAAAGTGTTTCAAACTCTGAGCAAATAAGAAATCAGGAACTAGTAACCAAATCCAGCATTGTATCAGATGGTTTGAATAACCCTTTTATTCTGCTGTTTATTGATCATTATTTCACTTTACATTTAAGTTTTTAATTATTTTATTATTTTGTAAACTGCTTGGAAATATTTACGGTTAGTAATAATAATAATAATAATAATAATAATAATAATTTATTATTTATACCCCGCCCATCTGGCTGGGCTTCCCCGGCCACTCTGGGCGGCTTCCAAAAGAATATTAAAATACTATAATACATCAAACATTAAAAGCTTCCCGAAACAGGGCTGCCTTCAGATGTCTTCTAAAAGCCTGGTAGTTGTTGTTCTCTTTGACATCTGGTGGGAGGGTGTTCCACAGGGAAGGCGCCACTACCGAGAAGGCCCTCTGCCTGGTTCCCTGTAACTTGGCTTCTCGCAGTGAGGGAACCGCCAGAAGGCCCTCGGTGCTGGACCTCAGTGTCTGGGTAGAACGATGGGGGTGGAGACGCTCCTTCAGATATACTGGACCAAGGCCGTTTAGGGCTTTAAAGGTCAGCACCAACACGTTGAATTGTGCTCGGAAACGTACTGGGAGCCAATGTAGGTCTTTCAAGACCGGTGTTATGTGGTCTCTGCGGCCGCTCCCAGTCACCAGTCTAGCTGCCGCGTTCTGGATTAGTTGTAGTTTCCGGGTCACCTTCAAAGGTAGCCCCACGTAGAGCGCATTGCAGTAATCCAAGCGGGAGATAACCAGAGCATGCACCACTCTGGCTAGGCAGTCCGCAGGCAGATAGGGTCTCAGCCTGCGTACCAGATGGAGCTGGTAAACAGCTGCCCTGGACACAGATTTGACCTGTGCCTCCATGGACAGCTTTGAGTCCAAAATGACTCCCAGGCTGCGCACCTGGTCCTTCAGGGGCACAGTTACCCCATTCAGGACCAGGGAATCCTCCACACCTGCCCGCCTCCTGTCCCCCAAAAACAGTACTTCTGTCTTGTCAGGATTCAACCTCAATCTGTTAGCCGCCATCCAACCTCCAACCGCCTCCAGGCACTCACACAGGACCTTCACTGCCTTCACTGGTTCTGATTTGAAAGAGAGGTAGAGCTGGGTATCATCCGCATACTGATGAACACCCAGCCCAAATCCCCTGATGATCTCTCCCAGCGGCTTCATGTAGATGTTGAAAAGCATGGGGGAGAGGACAGAACCCTGAGGCACCCCATGTTGAAAAGCATGGGGGAGAGGACAGAACCCTGAGGCACCCCACAAGTGAGGGCCCAGGGGTCTGAACACTCATCCCCCACCACCACTTTCTGAACACGGCCCAGGAGGAAGGAGCGGAACCACTGTATAACAGTGCCCCCAGCTCCCAGCCCCTCAAGACGGTCCAGAAGGATGTTATGGTCGATGGTATCAAACGCCGCTGAGAGATCCAGCAGAACTAGGAAACAGCTCTCACCTTTGTCCCTAGCCCGCCGGAGATCATTAACCAGTGCGACCAAGGCAGTTTCAGTCCCATGATGAGGCCTGAATCCCAACTGGAAGGGATCCAAATGGTCCGCTTCTTCCAGGCGTGCCTGGAGTTGTTCAGCAACCCCTCGCTCAATCACCTTGCCCAAGAATGGAAGATTTGAGACTGGGCGATAGTTGGCTATTGTGGCCGCATCTAAAGATGGTTTTTTAAGAAGCGGTTTAATAACCGCCTCTTTCAGCGGGTCTGGGAAGGCTCCCTCACGGAGGGAAGCATTCACCACCCCACGAAGCCCATCGCCAGTCCTTCCTGGCTAGCTTTTATAAGCCAGGATGGGCAAGGATCAAGGAGGCAAGTGGTGGGTTTCACTCGTCCAAGCAGCCTGTCCACATCCTCGGGGGTAACAGATTGGAAATGATCCCACACAACTTGACTAGACAGGACTCTAGCACTCTCCCGCCCGGCCCTGCTCCCACGGTGGAGTCTACCGCTTCTCGAATCTGCGCGACTTTACCTGCAACACACTTGGCAAAGTCATTGCAGGAGATCATGTGGCCCCTACTGGGCCCTGATGGAGCAGGTGGTTCCGCTAAATTGCGAACCACCTGAAAGAGTCTCCTGCTGCTGTTTTCCGCAGATGCAATAGAGGCGGTGAAGAAAGTCTTCTTCGCCGTCGCTATCGCCACTTGGTAGGCTCGACATTGAGCTCTAGCCCGTGTCCGGTCAGATTCAGAATGGGTTATCCGCCACCGGCGCTCTAGCCGTCTCAACGATTGTTTCATTGCCCTCAGATCCGTGGAAAACCACGGGGCTGTCCGGACTCCATGCAATCGGAGAGGGCGCTTTGGAGCCAAACAGTCAATAGCCCTGGTTAACTCCACATTCCAGCGGGCCACCAGGGAATCAGCTGAAAGGCCATCAACATGGGATAAAACATCCCCTACCACTCTCTGGAAACCATTTGGATCCATTCCTGGAAACCACTCTCTGGAAACCATTTGGATCCATTAAGTGGCGGGGGCGGACCATCTGAATCGGTCCCGCCTCCCTGCAGAGGGGAAGGGTCACGGAGAAGTCCAGTTGCACCAGGAAGTGATCTGACCATGGCACTTCTTTGGTTTCGCTTTTACTTAGTGTCAGATCACCAACATCCATAGAGGTTAGTATATAAATTTACAGAAGAAAAGGCCAACCGGGTAACCGGATTTTAAACATTATGCAAGTCCCAGAGGTCAAAGGAATGTAAGGTTGTAGCTACACTGCCAAATCTTAAAGCATGTTTATGCAAAAGTAAGTCTCAGTAGGTCATCCTACCTGGTGAACATGCATAGGAATGCAACCTGGTAGTAGTAGGCCCTATGGAATGCAGTGAAGCTTCTGAGTTTGCATTCCTTGAATTGTGCTGTAAGAGTTTTACCTTTATTAATTATATTTTATCATCACTGTATGCCACCCTGGGCCACATTTGGGTGTTGAAGGTGTGTGATTGAAATTTTAGAAATAAACCAAATTTTAAAGGGAGCAGAAACCTGAAGAGCTATATAACCATTCCAGGTGCACTAAGAAAAAAGCTTGTCTCAGGGTTGCACAAGGCTGAAAAATCCTCAAGGTGGCTCCTCTCAGCAGTTTCAGTTCTTTAGGCTGCACTCATATACAGTATCCAGTTACTTGGACGAAAGTCCACTGAACTCAATATGACTTTTTTTCAGAGTCCCTTGCATAGGACTGCATTGCTAGTCTCCAAACTCTGCACAGGAAATAACTTTAAAAATAAGTAAATAAATACTGTTTTAATATTAGCAGTACTGTAAACTGCTTCGAAAGGTTGCTTATGCCTTAAAAGTTGTTATGTAAATATTTGCCCAGATAAATGTCATAATTTTGTCTTGTTACCTTGTGAGGAAAACGTATCAATACCTTAAGTAAATAATAAATAAGTTCCTTGTGGAGGAAGCACACATGAATACTTTAAAAAAGTAAATAAAGTTTCAATGTGCATGCCACAGGAAAAGCTATGTATGATATAATTAAGGACCTAATCATTCAACACCCTAAAGATTGTTAGTTTTATTCCTTCGCTGACCTTCTTGTATCACTGTGCTTACTTTCAATGAACATAAATAATTATTTATGAAGCACCAAAAAATAAAATAGCGTTGGGCATATATAGTACCAAAAGAAACCCCACAGGCACTGACCTCAGGCTTTCTTAAAACAATAATCCAGACTGCTCTAATCCTGCCCTTCTTTATTCACAAAGCAGCACGTCAGTCACCCGTTTTGGTGGGAGGGGGACACGTTGTTCACGTTACCTTCCTCGTTTGTCGTCATCAGCAGCCATTTTGCAAAGCCCGAGTCCAAAGTCATCTGTCATTGCCAGCAGCTGTGAGCTCCCTCTCGCCTGCTCGCTCCTTCAGAAAGAATGACTCCATTGGCTCTTTGTCGCTGATTGGCAGCTCCGCGCCCCTCTTACGCAAGACAGGGACGGTGCAGCAACGACGCCAAGTTGCTATTGCTGCCTTTGGTGAAAAGTGACGTCAGAGGCAGGGAGGGCGTGCATTGGAAAGTGGGGGAGGCGAAAATGTGAGGAAGCCGGCTTGCTATTGGCTCTTGTGGATACGGAGATTATTGGATGGTTGCGTTGGCGTTGAGTTTATCATCCGAGGCAACTTTTTCTCTTACCAGTGAAGGGGGCGGGGACAGAAGGCAAGTTTGTTTTCTGCTTTTGCAAATCTTGAGAGAGAGGCTCCTGGGTGGGAAGGAAGGAGAAATTGTTAGCTTAAAATAAAAAGGAGAACACTGTTCTGTAGAAAGCCTTGTGCGAGGAGGTTTTTATTTTTTGCAGTCTGTGTCTGGAGTAACTGAAAACATGGACATTAGCACAGGGGGCTCCCAAACCAGTTGTCCCAAGTTTCACTGCGGCGGTCTAGGGCATATCTTTAAAAATACAATTAAAAATCATATCACATCTAGGACCAGAAGCTGTTACAGTGGCAGCAATATTGGAGCTTTTTTTTTAAAAAAAAGGAAGGCAAAAAAGGCACTTGACAAAATGATAGTGGCTTACAATTATTAATGACACACACAAAAAAGAAATAAAATACAAATAGGGAACTATGGCACACGATCCAGCCATAATTAAGAAATATTAAAACTGCAATCTTAAGCACACTTGCCTGGGCATAGTAGTTCCTCTTAAACACACATGAAGATTTTATTACATTACCAAAAGAATCTTATTGGTAGTGAACCAAAGATGCATACCCTCCAACATTTCTCCCAATGAAAATAGGGACATCCTATTCCATAATAACAACTTTACTATATGGGTGGCTTCCCACATATATAAAAACATTTAAAAAATGAATTATTTTTAAAAACTTCCCTATAATGGGCTAAGGGACGCGGGTGGCGCTGTGGGTTAAACCACAGAACCTAGGACTTGCAGATCAGAAGGTTGGCGGTTCGAATCCCCGCGACGGGGTGAGCTCCCGTTGCTTGGTCCCTGCTCCTGCCAACCTAGCAGTTCGAAAGCATGTCTAAATGCAAGTAGATAAATAGGTACCGCTCCGGCGGGAAGGTAAACGGTGTTTCCGTGCGCTGCTCTGGTTCGCCAGAAGCAGCTTAGTCATGCTGGCCACATGACCCGGAAGCTGTACGCTGGCTCCCTCGGCCAATAAAGCGAGATGAGCGCCACAACCCCAGAGTCGGTGACGACTGGACCTAATGGTCAGGGGTCCCTTTACCTTTTTATAATGGGCTACCTTAAGATGACTCTGGGCTGGATAACTCCATACCCTCCAACAGTTCTCTGGGGACATCTTAAGGAAAAGCAGGACATTCTGGGATCAAATCAAAAACTGGGATGGCTTCTGTAAATCTGGGACTGTCCTTGGAATATAGGGACACTTGGAGGGTCTGAAGATGTGGTCTTCTCTGCTGATGCTGCCCAAATTGCCTTCCAAGGCCGGCCTGCCTGTGAGATGTACCTTGAGCTGCAGAATCCCACAGAGCAGTGCCCCTTTGAGCACCCTGCAGGGTTGTGTGGCAGCTGTGGCTTTTCGCAGCAAGATCTTACTGGAAGCCACTGGTAAGCAAGGCCTTGAGGCTCATGGCAGCAAGGCCTGGTGCTGCTCACCGCTGTGAGGCCCAGACACTCAAGTTTTTTGGGGGGAGAGGAGGCTGAAGACACCTCAGCCCTATGGAGTTAGTGCCTATGATGGCACTGATGGGGCATTCCAAGGCATTGTGGGGCATTTTTAATTCTGCCTTGGCACTGATCACTGTTTCCACCTCCATCGAAACATGTAGAAAGAGGTCAATAAAGGGCACTTTGCACATCTCCCCTCCTGCTCCCCCAACCTAGAGCCAACCCTTTGATAATGTAGTGATGACAATACATGAAACTAAACATGATTGCTATATGAAATAAGAGGCCATTCTGAAAAGCCTAGGTACGTGTATTTCCTTCTGTGAATCCTTCATTATTCTTGCTTTCCCCACCTCATTTCTTTTCTCCTCTATTTTCTATCAACGGCAAAATGTAGGTTTTAATCGTGGGGGGTTGGAACACCTGCCTTTTCTTGTGATTATGTTGCTTGTAGCACACTAATAATGATGTGCTATAATAATTATAACAAGAACAGAAAGTTCATTGGTCTGTAATCATGCTACAATGGCTCATGAAGCAGGCCGCAATTGCCAGTAACAATTAAAACGGTGATATTTGCAACACAAGTGATAATGTACAGGAAGGCTATGGGAAACCATGCTGTGATCGTTTTTGTACTGATAGGGTTCTCCAATTAGCTGCAAATTTATTTTATAACCCTGTTGATTCCACAAAACAAGCTGGCTTTTGTGTAACATGTACAGTACAAAATGGATTTAATTAACCTATAACACCAAAACCTGTTCCACAAATAGCTTGTTCAACAATGTGGCACTCTAGTTTGCATTGCTACAGAATTTCAGCTGGTCAGCTGAATTAAATGTCATTTTTTACCTCTGCAATTACTTAATGCTTCCTCTGAAGTGTACAGTTAATGCAACAGAATTTCAAAGAGAATAATTTGTTTTGCTAGATGGTAGGCATTTGGGACACACACACACACACACACAAATTTTTCACCATTTATTTTAAGGAAAATAAAATGCATCTTCATTGTTTATTTGTTTGTTTTTGGAAATTGTTATGTCTTCTGTATTTTTAAGGTTCTGTTTCTATTCCTGTATCTTCTCCTGGTCATTATTCCAGCTAATGAAATAATCAGACTTTATATCTCTTTTGGCTCTGTCAATCAGAATGCAGAAGTGCTTCAGGAAGAGGAAAAGCACCATTTTATAATACATTTTTACCAGTAGTAATCTGTGCCTACATTATGTGATGTTAAATAATTAACTGCCCAAGTCTTCTTGAGGTTTCTCGTGTTGTGTCTGCTGGGCCTTAGCTGCCTCTTTAGCTTCTGACAGCTCCTCCCAGTCTTCTCCCTTTGACCACTCATTGTCATCCCACCAACTATCCCCTAGCTTTGAGCCTTCTTCCCCAGCTCGTTCCTCCCACCATTCCTCTGAGTCCAACCAGCCCATGACAACAGAAATGTTGGGAGACTGAGCACAGGTTCCCCATCCCCAGTGTTTTGCTAATAATCAACTTCAGCAGCACATGTTCTCTTTCAAGAACCAATGTTGTGGAGTGGTTAGAGCAAAGGTAGCCAATGTTGTGCCCTCCAGTTCCCATCAGTCCCAGTGAGCATGGCCAATAGTTAGCAAAGAGAGTTAGTCGTAGTCCACAAGATCTGGAGGGTAATACATTGGCCACTCCTGGATTAGAGTGTTTTACTAGGACTGGGAAGACTAAGGTTCAAAACTCTATTTAACCATTAAACTTACTTGGTGATCCTGAGTTGGTCAGTATCTCACAGTCAAACCTACCTTGTATGGCTGCTGTGAGCATAAAACAAGGAGGAAAGAACTATTCATGCTCCCTTGAGCTCCCTTAGAGGAAACGGGAATATAAACATAATAAAGAAACAAACAGTATTTAATTAATTCACTTGCATATGTGCGTGCACACACAGTGCCTCCTGAATGCTTAGAGAAAGAAAAACACCTTGCCCTAAAATGAATGTAGACCAATTCACTGAGGTTGTCAGTAGCTATTACGATGGTGGTTATTTGTGCATGTTAAATGCACATATAATTTTAACACAGCAAGGCTGCAATCCTATGCACATTTACATGGGAGGATATGTCACTGAACACGGGGGTTTACTTCTGAGTAGGCCTACCTATCATTTTGCATGTAAGCAAGTAGATCATGAGATGCTGCTTCCTGGCTTATTCTCTTGGGGCTGAAGCCCCAGTCAGCATGGCCAGTGGTAATGAATGATGGGAGCTGTAGTCCAATGGTATCTGGAGGGCACCAGGTTAGAAAAGGCTAAACTGGAAGCTTTAGGTGTTGTTTTGTAGCTTTCTGATCTCATAATATAATTTAAACTCTGCCTCCAATACCATGCTTCCAAAGCCATGGTTAAGTTATATTTTACATCACCGCCAGTAGTCAAGACTGCATGAAAAGTGGCTGATTAACGAACCTTTCATCTTTTTGGATGTTAAATTCAATTTGCTCAACTGAAAATTATTTTTCTTTTGTAATGGTCTCCCACTTGTGCAGTAGCATAGCTGGCTTAGCAACGGGGACCATTAAAATAAAAGCTTGGCAGCCCCTGATCATTTATCATAAAAGAATTCCAAGGCAGCTTAATTTGTTAATCTGTCTGTTCTTGGAGAATGCCTCTGCCAACCGGGAAATGCTGCTGTCTGACTAGATGCTTGGAAATAAGTCAGACGGTGAGTGCTATGTAAACAAATGGGTGTGCTGATAGGGAAACCTGCTACTTTGGGAGCCAGTTTAGGGCCAGACTGGGATGCAATGCCATTCAAAAAATCATTTTCTTTAATAAGTAAGGAATACAACCTCCCAATCTGGATTATCATGCTGATGTGGTGCATTGGGGACATTAACCCTTTGCTCCCCTATAATGGGGTCTCAATGCAGTGCCTACTTTTACCTTGGGAGCAAAGCTTCCATTTGTGAGAATGAGAGCTATTATTCCAATGCAAATAGCTCCTGTACAGGCTGATCTGAACTGGTACTTTTCATAGGAAAGAGCTAAAGCAGAAGTGGAGAACCTATGGCCCTTTGGCTGCTGCTGGACTCCAACTCCTTTCATCCCTTTTCATTGGCTATGCTGACTGAGGCTGATGGGAGATTAGAGTCCAACAACCTCGGGAGCATAGCTGTAAACCGTCCCTTATTTGGCAGGAAACTCCCTTATCCCAGCGCCGTTTCCCGCTGCTGTCCCTTATTGATGATGTCCCTTAAATTTCCCGGGTTTCATGCTCGCCCGGCTCGGGAGGGAAGCAGCGGCTCGGGGTCCTCCGCCTCGAGAGAGCGCGCGCACGAGCTGCTGCATCTCCATCTCTCCCTTTTCCCCCTCAGGGGCGTGTTGTGAAAGACAGGTGGCGGCGGGCAGGCAGGCAGCCCCTCTCTTGCGAGGCTTCCGCTGCGCTGCCAGGGGAAGGCAGAGGTGGCAGCGGCGGCAGCGGCCTGAGGGAGGAGGAAGAGAAGGGGATGGGGAGGGACGCAGAAGGGCAGCCCTTCAGTGGCTGCGGCGGCGCCACAACCGCCTCATGCTGGGCTTGTGGGTGGCGTGGGTGAGAGTCTCTCTCCCTCCCTCTCGGGTGGGGAAGGGCCGATGGAACTCATAAGCTAAGCACAATCCCTTATTTTGGCTGCTGATCCCTTATTTTCGAGGCTGCTGGTCCCTTATTTTCAAATCTGTAAGTTGACAGCTATGCTCAGGAGGGCCCATCCCTGGGTTAATGCATCCCCACTCCTTATCAGATTCGTGATCAAAATAATCTTAGTGCCTGATGATGAAAACCATTTGTGCAACAGCTAACTAGTCACATAGCTAGTTTGGTCCTTAGTTCTTGGTTTTAAACCCCCCCCCCCCGACTTGCTTTAGGCTTGGTGCATATGTATTCCAATTCCCTTTCCTGGCTTGTTTCAATCACATATTTTTGTTTTTACTTAATCTTTTGTACCACGAGTGGACACTTTGTCACGCAGTTTCTTGGGCAAAATGCCAGTATGTAACCCGATGAGCTTGAAATGTTTTTAGGTTTGCAGCAAGGATGGGAACTCCCCCCCCCCCCCGATTGACGGCCTCTAGGTGGGGGCAAGGTAGAGATATAAGCATGTGATGCACGGAACCAGTGAATGGGGCAGTGTTAAAAGTGGGTAGAGCAGTGGGTGTAACCTTTGGGCTGTAGGCTACAATCCATCCAGGCAAACAAGAGGCATTATCAGAGTTCAAGGACACATTCTCATCAAGCAAAACCACTCATGGAGCATTGGAGAAGGGCCTATGAGAAGAGTGCCAAAAAGGCCACATTTGGCCCCTGTGCCTGAGCGGTTCCACCCATAGTCTTTTTATATATTGCATCTACACCTCACCTATCCGCTAAGGAGCACATGGTTCAGTCCTCTTCCACAACCTCACACCAACCCTGTGAGGTAGGATAGGCTTAGAGGCTGTGCCTGGCTCAAAGTCACCCAGTGTGTGTCATGGCTGAGTGGGAATTCAAACACTGTTCTCCCAGGTCCTAATCCAGCACATAGCTGTCAGCTTTCCCCCTTTCTTGAGAGGAATCCTATTCGGAATAAGGGAATTTCCCTTAAAAAAAGGAAAACGTTGACAGCTATGGTCCAGCACTGTAACCACTACAGTGTAAAAAAATAGATGGAAAAATAGCGCTTAACCTCCCCTTCCTGAACCTATTTGCCAGTTAACTTGAAATTTCAAAATTCATGGTTTTGGGAGCAAATATGCAAAAGATCAAGTCTCCATAGCAACATGCTGCAACTCTGTCTAGCCTCCCAAGAAAGATTTTGTAGGATAGTTAATGATAAATAGTACAGAAACCCATTATAACAGAACAACCTACTTAAATCGCCGGCACAGGGAGCAATTAAAACATTTTAAATCACAAGCTGCCAACTCTAAGAGTTACTTCATTAATTCAGAACAATCAGACCCAGCAGCTGCTGCCGATACCACAGCAGAGTTTTAATTTTTTTCCTTAAAACTGAATGAAATATGCATACAATATACAAAAGATTTTTTTAAAAAAAAGGCCGGGTACAATTTTAAGGTCCTTTACACAGTTGTCCCCTGATGACCATAGAATCATGGAAGGGACTCAAGGGTCCTCTAGTCCAACCCCACGCAGGAATCCGATATAAACTTATTAATTTTAAGGAAACTCTCATAATCAGGAATCAAAATGCAATCCATCATTTGTTTGAAAGCCACCTAGAGAAACCTCCCCATCTGTTTTTAAAATTTATTAAATGTATATCTAACCAGAAGCCATAAGCACACTCCAACCTGTGCTGACTGAGAGGCTTGTCTTTGTAGCTGCAATCTACCTTGCTCTGTTTTAAGCTTATGACCTGCCTCCCCCACCCCTGTCAGCACTTCCTTCATTTTTGCAACAGGCATTGCCTCCATCTCTGTGGTTTATTGACACCACAATGCCATGTTATTCAATCAGATTATCCATAAAGAAAATTGGCATCATTGCAGCTGTAACCAGTCAGCACAGCTGAGTACAGAAAGAGAGGGAGATGTAAATAGGAAGTGCATTAATCAAATTGTTAAGCAGTAGGATTTTGAGCAAATATATGCCATGTTTATGTACATGGAAATCTTATGTGCGCAATCACTGTAGTTCTTTTGTGCATCCTATTTTTGTGTCCTTTTCAAGAGCAAGCTGTAATAAAAGAAAATAAAATTATGAACTGTATGCAGGCATGAATTAACCATTAACCATGAGGGACTGCAAGTTATGGAGTATGATCCCAACCATTTTGAAATGGAGAATTAAAAAAAAAGTAGTTTTCAGCTTCTCTAGGGGACTGGATTCAGGGCAACTTGGTTAGAGAGACAGAGGGAAAAATGTCTTGAGTGTAGTTGTCTGTTTTCGTAGGTGTTAAAATAAATCATATGTTCAGATCATAGACTTTTGCAAAAGCAGGTTTTAACAAAATCAGCACCTCTCTTGTTTCGTAATAAAATGAGAGCCCCACTTTCTTCCCGTAACAAGCATTCTAAAATATAGGGGGAATGTAAACTAGTACAGTAACTAAATGGCTGTGATACAATATTAATACTACATAGTTCCACTAGAGGGGAGCCTTCATCCTAGTAGATCACTTACCAAAGGAATCTGTAGCACTATTTTCGTAGCTTTCCCCCCACTTAGGTGGGAGGCATGGGAGGCTAGAAACTTACTTTTTAAATTTAAATAAGCCAACTTTCTTTGAATGTTCATTTGAACATTGAATGTTCATTTCTGCCCGGAGAACCAGCTCCCCCAGTTGTCTGGTATAATTGCAAAACACATAATCCTTACTAAATAATATGCCACACTCAATAACAACAACGAAGTCAATATATATTGCACCTGATTGAAAATGGGATATGCTACCAGCCAGCATGTATTCCTTTACTTGTTACAAAGAAGCCGCTTAGCTAAAGTGTGGGCCACATTTGCAAAGGAAAAATGTACTGGTTGTTTTGGGTATGTGTAAGCCAAAGGCACATAGGGAAGTGTTGTACCAGTTTGCATAGCTTTCCAAACATTGCTGATCAATTCACTGACCATGTTATAACATATTCGTTATCAGTCTTTTTCAATCACCTCTGTAGAAAACAGTTAATGATATTTTAGTATTGGATTTACCTGTTTGGTAAATTTTGACTTGGGATTTATTTGCTGTTGCTTCATTTCTTTCTTATTAAAGTTTTGATTGTTTTACTGTGCTAAATAACCTTTCATTTTATATTAGAGGCCATCTAGCTGTGAATCCTGCAAGACTGTGTTCTGTGTTCTGTCTGGTTTATTTCCCCTAGCCTGGGACGATGGGAACCTCACCAACTACATCTGCAAAGGCCACCTGACATTCTGACAAGGAGTCCTTCAGCCAAGAGAGTGGGCACTTATCTGGTCTTTAATTCTCTGTGAACCATGTAGAAACCTATTTTGACATTACGTGGTGTATAAACTTAATTGTGGTCATCATCAAATATTGAACCCTATGAGCTGCTAGGTGAGATACATGTTATGAATAAACAAAGACCAATTTCATAGTAATTGTGGTGAATTGATTATGAACCAATATATCATTATTCTTTTGTTATATTCAGTTTAATGTTAAGGTATATAATTTTATTATTTTTTTGCAGTGAACAGTTAGAAATTAAAGTAAAAATGAAATTGAAAAGGCAAATGAGAGGATCCTTGTAGCCTTTGGAGAGGAACGCTCTATATGATAGTCAATAGGTAAGCCAAGCTATGCTTTGTTCAATCAGTAAATAAACCAAGTTACCACAATGTAACCCATTTGTGAACTATGGGCTCCAAATACAGTACTGAACATTCCACCCAGGCGAGAGAGACTCACATAGAGGCCGGTTACATCTTTACACTCTTGGAGCAATGGGTGGTCCAGGAAGTGGGCCCACTTTGCCATTGGACAGCTGAACTCATCATCACTGCAGCAATGTTTAATAAGACTTATTTATTGAACAATGGTTTTATCTCAGTATGTGATCACAGCTGTTTTATTTTAGCAATACAGCAGCACAGGCAATTAAAACCATATTGCTTCTTGGCTATTTATTTTCATGAAGTCGTTCTCCATCCATTGTCATGAAAGAATTCTTTGTGAATTGCAAAGGGGGCGGGGAGGACGAGTAGGAGGGCAGATCACTTATAATGTAGATGTCTATTTCTCTTTCAAATTGCCTGCAGAGGGCTAATATTCAGCTGTGAGACATATAAATAATCATGTCAAGGAAAACCTCAAAGAACCTGATTATATTTCAAACAGTTCCAACTCTGTTGCCCTCAATGCCCTCTTCTGAACAGCCATATAGCCCTGGAAAGTGAAATGAATGCTACCATACGCTAGGCTTGGAACCTTTAATTAGTAGATTAATCAACAAAAGCTTTAGTTGACTTACCAGCAGGAGGCAATTTTAATTGGGGAGATCAGTTTTAATTGGCGGAGCTGTGTGTTTATGACATGCTTAATTTTTGAAGGGTTTTTTTTTTTTTTGGCCATGCTTTAGTTATTGAGGTTATTATTCCTGGTTCCAGAAGGCATTTCCTTTGACGGACTTCCTCTAGTGGAAAGTGGAAATCCATATCTCGGTGGAAGCGTGAAATATAGGCTGATAGACCTTTTAAATATCCCCGTTTTAAGTTTCTTCCAAATTCCCACAGTACCCTTAGCATGGAAGGAGACCACATTTGGTAAGTTAAAAATGGTTTACTTACAAACATTTCAAAAGTCACATTCATGTGCTTTTCCATATAGCAGTTAGAAAACACAGGCAATGAAACTTAGGTTCCAAAGTGGTAAATGTTTCTAAATTATTTGCATAGAAACACAAAGATGACTTGCTTAAGCCATGTGGTCTAAGCTTGGAACATTCAGCTTAGACCTCCTGACTGGTAGGGTTTACATGGTGTAATGGAAAGATCAAAGGCTGGGTAACCCTTCCTTCCAAGGCGACCTAGCTAAGGCTGGCATGACAGCTTACTCCATTGTATTAACCCCTTCATGCATTAATTAGAGTTAAGCATGTTGGTTATATGAGGCTGATTATCTCACAGAAGCTTGCTCAGTTAGTGGAAAGGAACCTTTAGATAATTTCTCCCCCCCCCCCCTAAATGTTTTTCACAGAAGCCCTTTGAGACATTCATAACCCATGGATAATAAGTACACCCATGTGGAGGAAAGGCAGGCTGTTCCCTGGTCTTCATTCATTAATTGGGGGGGGGGGGAATCTAGAGAGCCATTATGTGTTGCAGAGCTATCCTAACTACAGGAAATAAGTTACATCCATTCCAAACTCCATTTAGGAGCCTCCGGGAGGCACTCTTGCCAGTTGATCTGGCAGGTGAGAGTGTGGGCCTGAGTTTTGAGGTTTAAGGCCTAGGTAACATGATCAGGCTGAACAGGATTTGAAATAGGTGTAAGTCTTGCCCCATCCCACCCCTTGAGTGTCCCTTCTTGGAGGATTTACAACAGTGTGTCTCCAGCTTAGCCAGGGTAAGGGACTTACCCTAGTGTAGTCTTGGTTGAATGCCATCTTAGTCCGGAAAGCCCAAGAATTGCGAAATCCAAACTCTTTCCTCCTGGCAGATCTTCGGTTTGGATTGTGCTGTTAGTGAGGTTTCTGTCAGTGTGGAGTGCATAGCTGTCAACTTACAGATTTGAAAATAAGGGACCAGCAGCCTTGAAAATAAGGGACCACCAGCCAAAATAAGGGACCTGCAGCCTCACCTGTTCCAGGCACTCCAGTCTTCCTGTCCTCCTGCAGTCTGGTCAAACTCATGCTGGTAGCTTCAAGAACACTGTCCAGCCAACTTTGTAACCAGAGGTTCAACTGAATAGAATCTGAATCACATGCATCACAAGGCCTATGCAGCCTCAACTTAAGATGGCTCCCCGGCCTGGCTTTGCACTGCAAAGTTTGCAGCAGCATGTGCAACAAAATGGCGTCCAGCATTCAAAAACCCCTCAGCTTGCATTAACTAGCCACACACAAGGCATGCAAGCTCCACCCCCCAGTCGTTCTTAGACTTCTTATTGGGTGAGCAACACAGCCAAGCAACACAGTTGGAGCCTCCCTCCTCCTTGGCCGGCTGGCAGGGAGGAAGTGAGAGGAGCTGCTTCCTTTGAAATTTAAGGGACATCCTTTAAGGGACATTTAAGGGACATCCATCAATAAGGGACAGCAGCGGGACATGGCGCTGGAATAAGGGACTGTCCCTTCAAATAAGGGACACTTGACAGCTATGGTGGAGTGAGTTTTCTTCATGATGTCCCTCTTCAGACATCCTAAGGAACTCAAGTAGGCTGGATGTGGAGTGGGCCAACATGCATATTCAATATCAATGGATTTTGGACACTTGAGAAGGGCTTCTTTTTACAAAAATAAATTTGGAATACTGTACACACATACACATTCATTTACATAACGGTAGTTACACCAGATTTATGTACAACATAAATGCATTTCTTTTGTATTGAAATGAATGGGATGAAATAACATAATGACAACAAAATTTGCCTAATTTATGTAATTGATTATGTAAATTATGTGAGTTATGTAGCTTTCATGCAGTGAACAGTGAGACAAATAACAGCTTTTGGCAGAAGACAAATTGCAGTGGAATGGAAATAAAGCTGCGTGTTGTGATAGCAGGGCATAACAGAAAACAATGCCTTCATATATCCTTAATGACATGAAACTTTATCAGATAGGGCTGTGGTATATATGTGTGAGCTCCCCACTCCCCAGAAAATGATTCTTAGGCCCTATTCACTTTTGTAAGACTGTGCTTTTATTCACATTTCATGATTTTTAAACTGAAAAATTATAATAATGAGTATAATCATGTTTTTTATGGTAGCATTTCAAAGAACCCACTAAAAACCAGGGCTGGTGTAAGATATTTGGCTGCCTGAGGCAAATAAAAAGATGGCTTCCTTGCTCAATTCCATGTGCAGAAGCTGATTAGACTGGCAGTTGAACTGTTACTTCAACACTGGCAATTGAATTATATCCTTTGGTGGATATGAGGCCAAAAAGATAGTTATGGGGTGTGTGTGTCCAAGATATGTGTGGGACACACAGCTCTGATCTGTAACAGAGGAGAATGGCCAGAGGTCTCAGAAAAATGGCTGGGTGGCTGCCACCATTGTCCCTCTTCAAACATGTGCTGCCTGAGGTGATTGCCTCACTTTGCCCAACAGTAGGGCCAGCTCTACAACAAACAAAGGTATTTGACGGCTTTCAATTCTGTTCTGCCCCATTACATGTGTATAGTGAAAGACTACTGTTGTCTTCAAGGGCAATTTGTTTAAGTTCACAAACATGAACTATCCCAAAGTAAATATAGCTTTGAATGCCTTAAGGTATCTATAACTAATAACATAAGTAAGCACCCCAGCTTGTTTGACTTTTGAAAATTGGAACCTTGAAAGAGCTAATCCTTTTGGGCACATGAGAACAGAATAAATATTTCCCAATTTTGTACATCTGTTTTAATCCAGAATAATGGTGCTCTTCTTTTGTTTCCTCTGACCTGTGTCCCAAAACAAACATTATTTTAGTTTATTTTTTGCCATCTCAAAAAACAAAACTCCATACAGATTATTCATTACTCTTGACAGCTACTATTGAGTCAAGACAGAAAGTTGGAAAAGATATTTTGCCGGAGGCTCTTTGCATTTAATCTTGGATTACTTTCAACCAAGTGCTTCAGTATTAATAAAATAATTTCAGCTTTTCATGGAACCTCTTTAAGGCAGTCTTAAAAAGAATCATAACCCTCCAAAGACATTGAGTTTCTAGCTCCCATAGGAGACTTTCTTCTACCCCCACCCCCCAGGCATTAATTTGCTTTTTTTTCAAAGCTTTTTTTTATTGTCAAAGGTGGTGGTGGGGAAAGCTTTTCAGCCCAAAGGTCATATTCCTTCATGTATAGGGATTGGACAGACATACAATTTTGTTTGTATTTAATGAGAAACCACCTAATTCACACTTCTTGAACCAAAATATGGACCAAAATACAGTTATACTTCAAAATTTGTAATTATCCCAATTTTGTGATGAGGTTGTCCAACCAATTTAAAATAATGCGTATATTAGTGAACATAAGTTACAAAAAAAAAATTACAACAGGGGAAAATTCTGGGAAGAAATGTGTGCATTAGCCAAAATGTCATGCAAATCTCTATTTATTAGGAGAAATGCTCCCCATAATACTAACAAATATTCTTGAGTATATTTTTTAAAGACCTATCACAACTTGATGAAGAAATGTGAAGAACTGGATTTAAGACTGAGGCAACTGAGAAACTGATAGAAGAAAAACTGACATATTTGTCCATCCCTGCTCACAGGCAACTTCCCAGGGCTGCATGCCAATGGTGGGCAGTGCCCAAGGCAAGAGTTTGCAGTGCAATGTTACTCTTACCATTATCCAGTAGGTTACATTCTGGCCACACAAATGTAGAAGTTTCTGCTGTCCACTAGTACCACTCTGTTCTTGATCCAGGAAACCAGAGCTAATACTAGTTTGGGTAAACAACCCAATGAGGCAAAATCACTTGAGGGAGGGTGCAGATCAGGACCAGTGAAGTATGTGGCCTGGAGAGGATTGGACAGAGATATCTGGAGGGCCATACTTGCCTCCTGGGTCTAAAGTTTCTCAATCCTGGCCAAGAAAGCTAAACACATTAGTTGCTAATAAGGAAGCAAAAGCCATGTTTCCTTTCTACTTCTGTTTTGCACACATAACCTATAGAAAAAGAAAAAAAGCAGGGTCATACATGGATTGACTTTCTGGTAAAAATGGAAAACTGCTTATTGGCCATGAATCTCTATGGGCTCCAAGTGGCAACATCCAATCCCCTGGAATCTTTACAGTAGAAACATTCCAGGCTTCATGGAAGGAGTTGTCACTCAGATGGTAGAGCGCATGATCTGCATGCAGGAGGACCAAGGTTCAGTCCATGGCATCTCCTCTTGAAAGGATCTCAGGGACCAATGTGGGGAAGACACATTGCCAATCACAGTAGAAGATACTTTGCTGGGTTGACCAATGGTAAGGCTTAGCAAAGGTGCAACTGTTAGTATATAAAGCTCTTAACCACTTTGGACCAGTTTACCTGTGAGATTGCCTTACCCCACATAGTCCCACTTGACCACTTTGATCTGTAGAACTGGCACTGTTACAGGTGGTGGTGACTGGGCCACCTTCTAGAGAACTGAATGACCCGTGAGAACAGAGATGTTGCCTAACCATGTTCAAAAAGAAGGAGGAAAAGGCAGCATCATTAGCAAAATAAGAGAAGCATTATACATCAAATAGCACTATAAAGCCTTTTAATGAAATTCAGTCATGTGTAAATTGTTACTGCCCACCAACAGGGTGAGTCATGGGTAATAATATTAAACGTGAAGGCAGCCAAAGGGTGACATATTTAGTTTGCTCCTTAAATTGTCCTTAGCTACAAAGGTGCCACAAAACTAGTGTGGGAATAGGGGCCTGCTCACAATGATCTTCCATTCTTTTTGAGACATCATTAGTTAAATTATGTTCTGAAAGGCCCTTGACGTAACTCACTAAGAAAGGGATGAAGACAATTAATAATGAAGTAGTAATGAAGAGAAACTGGAATGGTAGACTTTGGGATCAGAGACTGGATAAAGAAAACTCTAGCCTCAGATATTTGTAAAAAACAATATATTGCAGAATGTCATGGTAATTCTTGTAAAATTTGAATTTGGAAAAGTTAAACCAAGGAGGTGAAGCAATTAAATTCACTGGTGACTTCCAGAGTTATAAATACCAGTTCTGAAAGATCTAACTAAAGGTGGGGTGAGAGACTGTGGCCAGAAAGAGTTTCAAATATATGTAACAACAACAACAACAACAACAACAACAACTGTACCCCGCCCATCTGACTGGGTTGCCCCAGTTGAAGGGAGTTGAAGGTAACTTCCCACTGAGCCCAACCTGGCTGCTACATGTTCACAAAGGCACCTACACACAATGCATCCGCCCTAATTTTTGTAGCGTACATGTTATATACAAGGGAGTTAAGCACATTCAGGTATAAACAGGTGGCATTGGTGGTTGGGACTGGAAAGGCAGAAGGCAGGTAGGCAGGCCACAGTAGGTGAAGGGAGAGCCAGTAACATGTGGGACCAACTATAGTTCTGGTCCCATCTGAGTTCTACAAGGTCGAAACTGGGACTAAGGCTGTGTACACACCATACCTTTAAAGCACATGGGGGCTGACGGAGGGTACGCTGGGGTTGATGGGGCAACGCCATGCTACATTTGCCATAATGGACTAGTCTCCACTGCAAGGTGGGCTGTAGAACATTCAGTTGTATGTTTGATAACTGTCTGCATAGGATCATTAACTCTGCAGATTTTAAAGAATAGCTTTTGTACAGTTACTAGCATCTGTGGCATTCAAACAGTGATTTCAGCAAACACTTTTATTCTTTGGAAGCTTCATAGTGGTTCCTAAATGGCAATGGCATCTCCAGTGAAAAGGTTCAGTAGCAGGTGATAGGAAAGGGCTGTGCCTGAGACCTGTCAGTCAGAGCACACAAAACTGGATAACCAAATGGTCTGACTTGGCAGGGCAAAGCTTTCCATGCTGAGAACATATTTCTTACAGCTTCAGGGAGCTAAAGAATATGCCTGAACCAGCACTTGGTTTCTTAAATGTACAAAGG